ACACACACACACACACACACACACACACACACACACACACACACACACTACTTGTCCCTAAAGAGTTTCCTGTCCTGTTTTGTTTTTTTAACTATGTTATTTCTTGCTCCATTTGTATTTGGATTCTGCTTTTTCTTTGTAATTGAAATACTTCATTCTTTCAAAGAAACATTGAAGAATATATAAAACATTTGGCTTGCCATTTAGCTGAATGATTACTATTGTATTGGTCTTGCTTCACTTCAAGTTGCAACTAATTAAATAAGAAACCATTGTGGAAGTTCCTTGAATGGCTACATAAATCAGTTCCCCATAGACTTCTATATTTCCACGAAATACAGCATTAAAAACATTTTAACAGCCTGCTTCAAAAAAAAAACCAAAAAAACCCTAACATTATTCTCTGTGGGTAAAATCCCTCTTTAAGACAATGTTTTTTTTAAAATACCTTATTCATGTGGATGTTGGAGGTAGGAGTGTGACTGCTTATCCTGTCACAGGCAGCTGGTGGCCTTAGTTCTCCAACTCCAGTTATTAAAGTGGACTTCTTCCTCTTCCCTTTGTCTATTGTGTTATTGCCTTTTAGAGGACTTTAATTAAATTACCTAACAAATAATATAGCATGCTGTGAGGTACAACCTGTATTAGAAGTTTGTGTTTCAATTTATGATTGCAGGTTGCTAACCTAGCACGCTAGCTATAGCTCATAACTTAAGACTCCAAACTCCAAATATGGCCACATCTGACTCCAAAAAACTAACATAAATATCTAATCCTATAATAATGTGTAGTAGAATTAGTATCCAAGTGTACGTTGCTTGACAACCCCACATGATACATGTGCTGCTTACTTGCCACCACTAAGTGATTTCTTACTAGGAATGTATATATTTTGTGTGCAGTCTGTGGTTCACAATGGGAAAATTCTGTGCCATATTTGAAATGAATAAAACACTACATAACCTCCCTCCATACTCTTCTACTTTAACTTGTTTGTTGGTATTTTTACGTGTTCGGTATTGTTCTTACTGTCTTGTACGGAAGAGGATTAGGGCCACTGGAAAAAAAAGAAAAAAGAAAAAAAAAGAAGTGGGCACGTCTTTTTTTTCTTCTTCTTTTCCTAAATTCTGAGAATAAAGTCAGAATTGTGAGATTAAAGTCAGAATTCTGACTTTTTTCTCAGATTTATTTTCCAGTGGCCCTAATCCTCTTCCGTAGTCTTGGAGCAACTGTGACAACATAATTATCTCTGGGATTTCTTAAAGTATTCTGATTCTGATTCAGTGCATCTTCCCTGAAAATATGGCACAGAAAATACTGTACTAAAAGCACCAGAAGCACTGGAAGTTATGAAATTTGGTAATCATCTGCATTGCTTCACTGAATTTGTAAAAGTTTTGTACAGTTTTTTCTCTGATGCAATCATACTTTCCTCTTTTCTGTAATGCCAGTTTGATAAAATGCAGTTTATATTTGGGCCTACTTTTAGTTTACAAAGTTACTCAGAAAGTCCAAGAAAGTAATTTCTTCTTTTAAGTATGAAATATGATTTAGCTCTGGTATAACAGACAAACTGACCTCTCTGCAGGCTGTAGGCTGGATGAACTCCCGGTAGATCTCCTCTGCTCTCCATTGAAGGTCTTCTGGTGAGGTAGTCAACCTGAACTCTTCACATGCGAGCCAGAACTCAATGTTTTCCTCACTGAACTCAGACTGCAGAAAAGAGTGGAATGCTGCTAAATACTCTGCAAAGAGGGAAATGGTTAAACATACAGAATTATTCATTATGTGAAATTCATTTGTAGAATCACATGGCTCAGTTTTGTGAAGAGTAACACTTCTTACTTTTGTCTTTTAGCAGTTTTTCCAGGTGAAGTTCATGGTCAGTCTGACAACTATAAGGAAATGATATATGGCTATTATTTTCTTTCTAATATACACCATGGAGATGAAAATAACTAACACTTCCAATCATATGATACCTTAGCTTTGAAGAGTACATCTCATCATTACATTTCTGTACACTGACACACTGGATATCCTTCTTACGCCTCCTGCAGTTCAGTACAATGTCAATCCTTAAAAACAAACTCAAGTTCAATATGTTTGTTAATGTAAAGTTTATAAATGTAAACTTAGTATTATTAGTGTGCTTGGCTTACCTTCGTGGCCGCTTCATGTTGGGCATTAAATCCTTAAATTCGTAAAGTCGAATCCTTGAAAATAAGAGTTTGGGCATTTTAATATCCCTGTAATTCCCTGTAGGGAAATACAATAGCCTGCTGTGATATGTGTAAAAGCACTGTTCCCTCCTGGGCTTGTCCTTAAACTGCCAGGAAAGGTATACCTATGACGCTGTGGGCCTGCTGGTACCTGTATCTAAACGCCAATTGGATACGAATACAAATGTCTGTTGTTAGACTCATCTACCCTTGTTACTGACTCACAGCTGTAAAATTCCTATGGGAGAATTTTTTTTTCCGTTACTCAGATTTCTGGAAAAAGGTATTTAGGTGACTGATTGACTGCGTGATGTATGTGTAGTCCATATAGGGCGATATGAGCGTTTGCCTTTTACTTGTCTGTATGGAGATTCTAGATGCACTACCTATGCCATATTTTAAATCAGTACTTCACAAATGGTGTGCCGAGACATGGGTGTGCCGTAAGGGAAGTCCAGGTGTGCTGTGGGATCTTGTGAGAATCATGATTCATTTTTACAATGAATGGCAGGGCAAAGTCACGAATTAGCAGTTAATTTACTGATCAGTTGTTTGCATGCATTCATGTCCCTGAAAAAAGGCATAACATTTGTTAAAGGCAACCGACTGACCATGATTGACAAGATTTTATTGTGTGAAAGAGGCTATGATTAATTAACCACCAGCAGAGATGACCCACGATCTTAAAAACCCAGGAAAAAAAACCAGCTGTATTGGGATGTAAACATGCAGTAAAACAGGGATTGGATATTGTATCTATGTCCATTTTTTGTTGCTATGTGATGACATGAAGAGAAAAATTATGGGAATTCAACCAATTGGTGAAGATGTGATAACACATACAGTGAGCCCAGAGGTACTGGTACAACAGGTCAAATAATCTTGAAAAGGAAGGGCGCCAAGGAGATGATGCCATCAGATAAAAACATAGCTGACAATGGCTGCAGTGAACAATGTCAATTGTTTTTAACACTGTTTCACTCAAACATTTTTGACACTGTTGTAGCAGTGATATGGTATAGAGCTGTTATATGTCGACAAAGCATCTACGGATTACCAAGACAATCCCATGCATCCACATATTTTTTTTTCCCCCATCAAAAATACCTATGACCTCATCTTCTGATGCTTCTTGCACACACTTGTTGCCAGGTTACAAATAAACATTTTCCTTCCTAGTTCAATCCCCACTTTATTTTGATTAGTTGGCGAGAGACATTAAACATGGATGAGCGCAGAGAAGATTCAAAAGTTGAATCGGTTTGAGCTGAGTGCAGAAGCAAAAATGAACTTGGGGTTTTTATTTTTGCCGAGGACTCTGTGAACACGGAATTTCATTTGTCTAGATTTGTCTAGAACATTAGGCACTACAGGTCAGTTTGTATTTGTAGGCACAGGCCCTAAGCCACCCATTGGCAAATATTAGCTAATGCTATCACTGTGCACAGAAAATAAAGAGGAACCAACCATGCCTTCAGAGACAAACCTCACCTATTTCTGAATCAGAGTGCTGGATCTGAATCAGAGGGAGCAAAACTGTGAAACTGTCTACATGACAGTCTTGATTTTCAAAATATTAAAGGTATTTGATGAATTGGACAAACAGACTTGTACATTTACTTGTGTAAAACAATAAAAATAGAAACAAAGACAAGGCATAAAAAGGCTGGAATGTGCTTGAAAACGGCTAAAGTACCACACCCTTGAATCACTCTTTTTGCTAATTTGATTAAATGATAAGTTAAATATATTCTGCATACCAACAATAAATTGAACGTCATGGTAACAAGTGGCTTTCAAGTGAGAGCGGCATAACTCTAACACCCTAAATATTGGGTTGCAAGGCAATACATTGTAGAGCTAATGCCCTCTGATTTTAAGCAGGCTCCTGGACAATTGACCACCAAGTTGGGCCTTTGAAGGTACTGTTGAGGAATAGGGCCCAATAAGTCATTTGCAGGAAGCTCTTTAGATCAAAGACAGCATTATTTTTGTGCTGGCTATAAGAAGGACAACCAAAAAATGAAAAAGAATAACTCAAAAAAAGCTGTTTTGAAAACTGTGATGGCCCGAAACATGAACTGAGTCATACAAGGACAGAGTAGCAGCATTTTAAGGCACAGGAAATTAGTAGGGAAGTTTCTATAAGTACTGAAACTCCTGAAGCGAGTGACCCAGACAGTTCTGAGAACAACTCCTAAAACGCAAATGTCCCCTCTTTACTATCCCCATCAGCCTTAACATGCAAGCCTTAGACTATATGTGTAAACCAGCAAGACAAAGTTCCTCTTCTCTGATGACCCATATTGATATACTAATGGAAATTTTACAACACACAAAGTCGGTGCTTGTGTGCATTTTTGGGTGGGTGTGTTAAATCAGGTGTATCCATTTGGTGCTTTTCAAGATTCCCTCAGGGGTCTCGTTGTTGGGTATACTGCTGTGTTTGTGGTTAGGAGAATGTTGAAGTGGGTTTATTTCAAACTTTCCCCTCTAACACTACAGGAGCCGTAGTAGATGCACATGTGAAGCTGGAGATTTAAATTTTCAGTAGCCAACACCCTTAATATTGCATGCTTGATTGAACTGCACTTTCACACCAGGGCATGAGAAAATCCACAGAATACAGAACAGCTCTTTCTTAATCAATGTCTTCATCATGGGTCCATTGAGTTTGTGAAATTGCAACGTTGTGTCGCAAGTTCATTAAGTTGTAACAAATGGAAATGGCATTTTAATAGTCTATATAAAGTATTAGCATTATACAATACTGTACAATCTGGATTATCATTGTTACATTTATTAGCTTTGATATATTGCCCACTTCCAAGTTAATGTCTCTTGTACACCCAAATAGGTTGTTAATCTGCTAACTGTGCACAAGCTATAGATAATAGCATGGCTAGCTAACTAGATTCAACAATAATCTTGTAACATTCAAAAGAAATAAGAGCTTTTGATAATGTAGAGAAACATTCAGCGAGGTTATCAATCACATTTAAAAATCTATATCAAAATTGTAAGCCAACGATTATTAGATTTTTTTTTTATTGCTGTCCTAACTCCAGAAGCAGTGTATATTACCATGCCTAGCTACCTACTAGCTTCTGCAGTGACCTTGTAACCAGGTGTTTTTCAAAAGGACAAGATTTACATATAGTTATTTTGCGAGTCAATAAATTGAATATGTATGTAGAGATAATAGTTAAATAATGAACCAAGATGAAAATATAGAGTTGTCTAGAAAGAAAATATTATAGGGTCATTTAGACTAATTGCAATGGCATTTACTGAACAACTGGTTATACAAAGTATTTTTTCATCTGCGTTCTATTGACAATAATTTAAATCAAACTTCATATTTTGAACAATCTCTTTCTATGTTAAAGTGTAGCTCTTGCCAGAAACAGAATGTGTTTCAGGTGTGATGCACGTAAAAGTTCTGTATTTGCAGCTGTTCAACATAAGTAGCAAACATGACTTTTAAAGTTTCTTTTAAGTTTAAAGTTCCCTTTAAAGTAAGTTTAAAGTGGAAGCATTATGTTGGCCTGTACATATGATAGAGGATACTACAGCATCTGCTGTGTTACAGGAGAATTATAGACTAAATGAAATACACTAAACAAGGGAAAGCCTCATGCTTTAACATATGCTGAAATCATTTCTTTAGTCAAATGAATGTAAATAATATGACCCGAATACAGGCTAAAATAAATTATGATAAGTTCATACAATTCAATTTCTAAACTGGAACTCTTTGGACCGTGGATAGAATTAGAAAGGTAAGGGTTGTATGACTATCCCAAGGATCAAACATACATCACCATCACATTGTAGAAATGGTTCATTTTACTATAGGACTTGTATTCAGCATTCTTTTAAATAATAGACATTGAAACATGATTTTAAAGCAGCATTTAAGCTTCCCAGTGCATGAATTGACCTCAGCAATTAAGATAATTTCTAATAAAATAGTAATCCCAAGCATGCCTTTATCAAGTATGTGAAGTATCTGAATTTGAATCCCACTGAAAGTCTGTGTGGGATCTACAGAAAAAAGCAGTTTAGGCATAGAAGAAAATTAGTAAGCTGGAAGCTTTACCTTAGGGAATAAGCTAAAACTGGAAGTTTAAATGTGTTTGAAGATTGAATCATTTTCCATTTTTTAACATCATGTCTCAAAATACATCTTAAAAATGCTATATTTAGTTATCTTTTTGAAATAGTTTATCACGACTGGCTGATATTTTTTCACTGAATTAAATTTGCATTAATATCTTGGTTAATTTATTTATCTCACCCTGCTTTGTTTTTATAGCCTTTAAAGTAAATGTTCATGTGTGCCTGGGCCGGCTTGAGATTTTGCAAATGGGCAACAACCTGCTACATGAATTATTTCCTGTTAGTATTTTTATACTTGATGCTGTTTCTAAATGAAAATGAAAGGCAAATGATAAGAGACCAGAAAGAAGAGCAACAGCTAGCCAGCTTATCTCAGTGATCCTGACACAGATTGTATTCCTTATAAGGTAAACTACACGGGGACCATTCAGTGGCCCAGGTGTCATTCAGGAGCCATTACAACAAAACCACTCCACAACTTCATAAAAAGTATGATTGGAGTCATAAAATATTCCAGAGATTACATTTTTTTCATGCAATTTACAAAAAAGTGGAAAAAACTGCTCTATGCTAATTAGCCTGTGATGAGTGACGCTAGTAATGAGACGTCTTCAAGTTAACAAAACAGGTTTCAGTTGTGCCCTTTTTGTTCTCGAATTGTTATCAATTTAAATATATAAAGTAATATGATTTTAATAGACTAAAATCTCAATTGTTTGTATATAGATGGTGAAAAATTTGAACTTCCGCAGTGAAACACTGGAGCTTACTCAGTCAAGAGGTGGGTTATCAATGAGAGTCAGCCTTTTGATTACAACACATTAAAAAAAATGCAGGGCAGGGCACTTCCAGTTCTGCGGCTGCTTGTGACACTTGCAAAACATTGTGGCTCTACAGCCTTGTCTTCTTCAGTCTAAAACATCAGCTAGCCTGACTGACAGTTTAATTAAAAACAAATGGAAACACACAGTGGGTTGATTTCCTCTTGTGTTGCACGGTCGT